AAAGAGAGAAGATTGGTTGGACCGAGCCGTTAGAAGCCGGGTCCTTGCGGTATGATGCAGGCTGACCAACATGGATGGGGAATCGAGCATTGATTAACATTTTTACTTTCCCTCTTGCTTTCTGTCAAGCCCTCAGCCTGGGTCGACCAGTACCACGTAATGGACATTGTGGCCTCAGTACTATCGACCGAAAGGCTATGAAGGACAGTACTGTGTTTTGAAACTTGCAAAGTCCATCTATGGGCAGACCGATTCACCTAAAATATTCTATGAGCATCTATTTCGCGGGATGATACAACTTGGTTTTGAAACCTCCGCAGCAGACCCATGTTTGTTTATTCATAAGAGGCATCAACTCATGGTATTAATTATTGTGATGACCCAATCTGGCTCAGTCCAGAACATGATCTGATTGAAGTCCCTCATGTTGGGCAGCTCCAGAATCTTGGATATGATCTCAACATGGAAGAAAAAAGGTGACATCTTTTTATTCCTCGAGCATTATTTGAAAGACAAGGGTAAGACCAATGTTGAGCTTACTCAAAAAGGGATGATCAATAAAGTCATCGAATATTCTGGTATGTCTGACGCTACCAAGAAGCTTTCTCCTGCCGCCACCGATCTTCTCGGAGCTGACAAACTTGGGGCCCATTTAAAGAAGAGTGGAGCTATCCAGCTGAAGTTGGGATGCTACTTTACATTGCATCCAACAATCGCCCAGACATCAACTTTAGTGTGCACCAGGTAGCAATATTCAGTCACAATCCCAGCCATTCCCATGCTCCAAGCAATCAACGTATCATTCGGTATCTGATTGGTACAAGTGACAAAGGCATTGGTTTTAGCCCTAAACTTGATCAGGGACTTGATTGTTGGGTCGATCCTGACTTCGCCGGATTGTATGGATATCAGGATGATCAGGATCCTGGTGTCCGTCAAGTCTTGCACTGGATTTGTCCTGAATCTGTTTGGGTGCACTATTATCTGGTCCAGAAAGCTACAGAACCGGAATATTACTTTGAGCTCCACTGCTGCTGGTTATGTTGCCTTCAGCATGGCCATGAGGGAGCTGCTTCCTATGCGAGCTTTGCTCAAGAAATTGGTAGCAAACGTAATATGCCGGTAATTACTAACAGTCTCGTGCGCTCTAAAGTGTTCGAAGACAACCAAGGTTGCCTGTCTCTTGTGAATGTTCCCAAAAATGTCTGCGCGCAACAAGTATTTTGGCATGAAAGTACCACTTCTTTAGGTCCAATATCGGGGAGTCGAAAGGGCATGTGGCTAATAATATTCCGACTCTGGAACAACGGGGCCGACATTTTCACTAAGAGTCTTCAGGCTCCACAGTTTGATGTCATTCGGAAGCTCTCATGGGGTGGTAATTTAACTCAGCACTTTGTTGGGGACTCTCTCCTATCGTTTCTTCTTGCTCCAGCTTCATTTCAGCTGTAAGGGAGTGCGACGGGATACAGCTTACAATTCAGCTTTATACAGCTTTACAATTAGCAGGCTTATTCTAGAAAATAATCAATAACTGGCTGCACTTATTTTTTGGAAATACAAACTTTAACATCTCTTAGATCGTTAGATTAATCAGTACACAATGGTATTGTCCCGCACAAGTGTTGCATTCAGGAGACCACTGGGGCCATGATCGAAGATAGAAACATCACACGTTGCAGTATCCAATCGACTAGCTACTGATGTTCCTGGACGCTAGCTAGCAATCCAGAAAGACGAATCGTTCAATCAATCTAATAAGCTCGTGCAATCCGTGTTACAGTTGCCTAACCAGCTGAGCAAGCTACAACTTGGTTTCAAACCCATGGTGCAAATCCACACTCATAATCCGGTCCAGAAAGGGTCACGGTATGTACCGGTATACATAGTAATTCCATTATAAATGTTAAAATGTTGTACACCCATCCAACACACTGAAACATGGCCAAATAATGCCGACGGATGCAGTGTTTCCTCCTACGAATCTGAACCAAGACATCGAATTCAGGAGGAATGACACCCACTCCTCCATTGTGCGGAGTAATGGTACACGCAGGAGATTTCTCCGGGCTTGATTCTTACTAGGTGGTGGCAAGGCAATGGGTGGGCTCTGTTTCGGCATCCTATGTTACCCAAGCCTGCCGAAACCTGTGGCAAGTTAACCAACCAACCAACCATGCCATCCAATGCTGTGACAGGAGGCGAATGTCTTATTTAAAAACAAACAAACATAATGTCATAATCTACCGATCAAGAAAGCAGATTGGTAGTTTAGTCTTTTTTAACTATTTCGTGGACATTACTGGAAAGCCAGATAGCGATTTAATAAGCAGGTGCTGGAGCCGTCCAGCCAGCCGCGGTCAATTTCGTGGCAAAGAACTCGAGGCGCTTTTGATTGACCTTGAAATCTGAGTCACCCACTCGACTGGATGATCGAACTTGAGCGGTTCCATCATCTCCAACCTCGACGACAAGGTCATCCACAAAAGGTTTTCCGCCTAAAAAGCAATGGATGAGCCATGTGAGTTCAAGCAATACGTACAACACAGCAGATCTCAATGATCTACATATCCAGTCGACCACGGCACTGCTTACCGTTCAAGAACTTGGCAAAGTTGCCAATGCCCGACTTGTATTCCACACTGGCTGTTCCGGAACTCGCCAAGGAATCCGAGGCAAAGGACCAGCCCCCCAAATCGACCTTTTCTTGTCCTTCTTGTGGGTAGGATTCTAGAATCGTCTTGATCTGACTGGCAGCATCGGACTTGCTGGTCCCTGCAGGTGGTGTCCAGGTGGTTCGAATGCAGTTGTTGGAACCCTTGGGGCAAGCTTCGATGGCATTGGCTGCAGCGGGAATGACTCCCACAAAGGCAGCACTTGCTACGGAACGAAAGACATCACGTCGACTACTGGCGGTCTGGTATGCTTCGGCTGTTGCCAACAAGAGGAGGATGCTTGAGAGGATCTTCATTGTATCGGTATCTTTTTGAGTGGCGATTGATGGCTTTTGGAACCACCTTATTTCACATCATCGATGATCATTCATCGCGGTTAGTCTAGCTAGTTAGATCTTCATCGGAAGCAAAACATGGCTTGGTGACATCTGACAGACTGACGTCACCCTTCAGCATGAGGAATGAGGATCCGTTCCTATGCTACAGTAATCGAATTGAGTCTTCAATCGAATCGGATCGATTTCATCCCCTCTCTCTTTTGGGGGACGTTCTTGCCGTGCGATGTGCGATGGTTCGTCATTGGTTTGCAATTTTTTGGCTAGTTTTCAAGTTTAACTATGACAGCTCCAAGACGTCCATGCTGCAAGATATGGAACGAGGTCGAACTGAAACCGAAGTGGACTTGGGTGGGGAAATTGTGCGGTTGGGGAAGAAAGCCATGCGTCAACAGACAAACTGGAAGTACTAGCTAGAGAGAGAATTGAAACAGCCGTAACTACAAGAACCAGCAGTTGCCAAGTCAACTGATTGACGCTGAAGAAATCTGTTCATAGGAGAAGGCGCCGAAATGAAACGAGGGGGTGATAGCAGATTGGTACCGTAGAACACTTTACAGCCTTGCACTTCAACAGGCAAAGAACAGATGTCCATGTTAGCTTCAGTGCAACCCAAGGTACCGGTAGCAATAACGATTGTGTCATTCGGGCTGTTGCTTTCATTAGATAATAATATTTTCGTTTTGTCTTCACGAGTACTCTACCAAAGCTTGGGTACAAGTGAATCGAATCTAGAGCAATTCAGCTGCAGTTCATGGCGGACAAGCAATCAACTGCACTTCCATTCCCTCCAAATAAACAAATAAATGAAGTGATGCCTGCAGTACTAAAGGGAACCAACAGCTGCTCAAGCTGGCGACCACAAGGAAACCTCAGGAGCGAATCATTTCAACCAGTAAACTCGCCATGACTGACAGAGATTTGCTCGAATCTACATGTAGGACGTCAATCCAACCTGGCAAACAGGAGACTGCCCACCGTTTTTGCTCTTTGCTATTGTTTCTTTTTGGTCTCTGTTTTGGTCTTTGTCACGGCCTCAACTCCTCGTTTCATACCAAGCAACCCTGCCCCCAGGCCACCAAACACAACTCCCAATCCAATGCAATTGATGACAAACTGCTGAAGCCCAATCTCGGGTAAATTGAGGAATGGATACGGATAGAATCCGTCCAGCAAGTTGGCTCGAATCAAAATGTATACCCCGTAGGCCACGGGCCAAACCACACATGCCTTGGCTCCCTGCCATATTGGCACAGGACGGTGCTCAAAGATCATCCACCATGCAAACGTTGCAATCGGCACGACCGTGTGTACCCCTTCATCGGCAATTTTGTTCAACCCTGTCAACGTTCTCAGGTGCTTCAAGGCGGCGTGGTAGACAATTCCCACCCCCAGAATGGCCGACACCAAGGCGATCCAAATGGAGGGAGATAGAGCCTTGTTGTTGTTCTTGTTGCTGCTGGCAGCAGTGACCCCCATGGCTACTGCCACCGCCGCGTTGGTAAGGATGGTAAAAAAGTGACTGAGAAACCACAGTCCTGTTGCTAGACTGCCCCGTCTGATCCATGAACCCCACACTCTCATGGACAAAAAGATAACGGTGGTAGTACAAACAGCGAGAGCCGCCAAGCGGCTATTCTTGGTCATTATTCTTGTGTCATTCATCGCTTGGGTAGCACCGGTGGTCGCAACGTTTTGGCCTTCACTACTACTTGTATCCATGTAGGTATCTCCTCCGCGAGGAATGGGTTGCCACGAAGGAAATTGGCGACTGGTCTTTTCGTGGCGGGTGAAGGATAGCAGGGACAAGGGACGATTGTTACTGATGGTTGCTGTGAAGCGATTACTGGCTGATGCATGGACAACGGTTGGCAATGCCAATGTCAACAACAGCACCAGGTTCATGGGGGAGGTTCACAAGGCCTGGCCCTAGCTAGCTGGCTTCCGCACAGTATCAATGCAGATAACCTCCCGACTGGCTCTTTAGAAAACCCTGTGTGTGTGTCCCAAGAATTTGCACGTACTACTAGCTAGCTAGTAGTACCTGTGCCAGCAGCTGTGCCAGCGCAGCTTCAGCAGCTCTATCAGAGCTTTTTCGTCTTCGAGCAAGAACGATGACGTCAGTGCGAATCTTGATGCCAACAACACAAAAACGCCATGGGATTGGCTCGTGAAACCACGACGCCGTCAGCATACCAACCGGTTTGCAGAGTCTCTTCCATGCAGTGATCGGCATGCAATCGGGAGAGCAATCCCACGGACTGGGCAATACAATTATCGATGTCATAACCTTGACAGACAAACAAGTAGAATAATTTAGGAGTCAGAAAATAATGAACATGGCTACCCTCACCAATACAAGACAACGATGGCTGCTGCTGTGGCTGCTGCTGGCCAGCCCCACGGCAGTGGTAGCAAGGGGTCCTGCCTTTACCAACAAGAACAAGATCATTGCCCTGTCCGCGGGTGCAATAGAAACTATTAATAATAACGATGAAATTCACACCCATGACACGGAAATTGGAAGAATGCGGACGAGCTTTGTCCGACACATTTTGTCTGATCGACTCCATTATGTCAAAAATGGAAGACGCATGAAAGATTTCAAAGCGTGGCTTCGAAGTCGAGGCGGCGAAGTGGCCGTCTTGTCCACTCACGGTGTCGAGGTGGATTTGCAGTTGGCAGCAGTGCCATCGCAGCAAAATAATAATAATATTGAAGAGCAGCAGCTACCGCCAGTACCAGCAGTAGAGGAATACCACTACAACGAAGATCTTGTTCGTGCAGCAGTAATCAAAAACAATGATCCTTTCGCTGTGAACAAGTTGGATTTGGACTTGCCAGTCAATAATCTACCCAGCCTCTATGAAGGAGAACCAATTCACTTGATGGATGAACTAAGCCCTTCTTTGCTACAGCTATCTTGGCGGACCATTCAGTTGAGTTTCAAGTTTGCTCCCGTCCTCTCCACGACCTGGTTGGCTGTGCTGTCCACAAAGTTTCGAAAAACTTGGTACAAGTGGGTAGCAGCTTCGTTAGGTAAGTGCGTGCATTGTATGTATGTCTTCAACAGGAGGGAGCATAAGTCTCATTCATCTCCTCTTGACAAAATTATTATTATTTGGTGTATGCTGCAGGGACCACCTCGGCTGCCTTTATCAAATGGGGACAATGGGCAGCCACCAGAAATGATATGTTTCCAGATTTGCTGTGCCAAGAACTGGAACTCTTGCAAAGCTCGGCACCCGAACATTCCTGGTCATTTTCGGAAAAAATGATGGAATCCAGCTTGGGGTTGCCGGCAGACTCCTTGATGGATGTCTTTGATAGTTTCGACGAAAAACCATTGGCATCAGGAAGCATTGCACAAGTGCACAAAGCAGAGTTGGATGGGAAACCTGTGGCGGTCAAAATACGACATCCCAGAGTGGCACAACTCATTGATATGGACTTTCGAATCATGACGGCCTTTGCCACAATCTGCGATTGGATCCCTGCCTTGTCGTGGCTGCATATCCGTGAATCGGTGGAACAGTTTAGTCACACCATGGCAGCACAAGCACACTTGCAAGTGGAAGCTCATCATTTGGAAATTCTCAATCACAACTTTCGAAAATGGCCCACTGTCAAGTTCCCCCATCCCATTTATGCCAGCTCGGCTGTGATCATTGAAACCTTTGAACCGGGGATCATTGTGTCGGACATGATGGACGCCTACTCGGATTTGGCAAATCAATACGGCAACAAGAACAAGAACAATCAAAACAATGATCAACGTGTCACTGTGGTGGAAGAAGATGGACAAGTTGTCGAACAAGACACAACGGGTCGTCCAAGCGCATCCGATTTGATCCCGGTTGATACTGCCAAGTTCATCGTGTGTACAGGTGTGGGTCTGTATTTGAAAATGCTGTTGGTGGACAACCTAATGGTACGCTTGACTCAATAGGCTTTTCTGGTTTGAGTCAACGGAGATCCTCTGGAACTTACTCATCTTCTGCTCCTGTTCCTTGTATCATACACAGCACGCAGATTTGCACCCAGGCAACATAATGCTTGCAGCGATTGCGAAGGGGCAATGCCCGGATACAGATCACGACATGGATCTCTTGGTTGTAAAGGACACAGAGTCCAAGGCGCTGGCCCAGGAGCGTGCCGAAACCAAGCTGAGAATCTGCCTTGTAGATGCTGGTATGGTTGCTCAACTAACCGACCAGGAAGCAACCAATTTCATTGGTTTATTGGCTAGCTTGGGACAGGGAGATGGCAGACTGGCTGCCAAGTTTGCTCTGAAGTTCTCGACGGAAACCGACTTGACCGCTGAGGAGAAAGAATCTTTCACAGAGGACATGATTGAAGTCTTTGCCGAACGATGTAGAGGATACTTTACTGGCGCCGATGTGGGGCATATTCTGAGAGGGGTTTTAGGCTTGATCCGAAAGCACAAGGTCCGTATTGATGCCAACTACGCCACGCTGGTTGTGAATGTGCTCTGTATTCAGAGCTTGGCACTGCAAGTTTGCCCAGCATACAATGTGCTGGATGCCGCAAAGCCCCTGTTACAGAGCTACTTTGATACCTTCTTTGAACCGGATGGGGAAGAAAAACCACGAGCGAAAGCAGTCGCGGTGAGTGCCGTGTGTTGAGTCACCTTGGCTTGAATGCTTCAGCGCTTTACACATCACCTGACGAGCTTTTGTTCTTTCTTTTTCTCTTTGTCTCTTCCCAAAGAAATTCAACCGGATAATGCCCATCAAGTACTTGGAAAAGAGCCGCAACGACAATGCTTTCTTCCGACGAATAAAGCAAGCCAGACAAGCACAGATGAAACTTGAACAGTAAAAAGCAAAAGCCATCTGGACTCTGTTCGTCTGTAACTAGATCTATGCTGTAATTGAATAGAATGCCTATTGCAACTGACTGACCACCGGGGTCGTAGGTACAGTAGCTAATCTCCAAAAGAGTGCTACCGGTACCGGTGCGTGTAGACAACTAAGGAATCAACAGAACGCCTCCAGACAAATTGCCACTTTCCCCGTTCCCAGCAGCAGAATTGGTGCACCGCACCCACCAGAGCCACCAGTACCGGTACGGGTACCTGGTAGTCGTGACCATTGGGCTGCCATTTTCCCAGGCCCATTTCAATACTTCCACTTACCCATTTCACCTATGGCCATATTGGAATTGTTTGAGTGTGTCTTTACTGGCAGGTAGACTACCAGTACCAGCCTGGTGGTTACAGTACCTAGCTAGTACATGTACAGCTGTAGTAGCTACCGGTACCGGTGGGGCTTTGAAATCCAAGCAATGCTTCTCATATCTTATTTTTGCCACTATTTCAATTATTTTTGCCTTGATGATTTGCGCATGCAACCACAGCAACCAACCGTGTCAGTTATTAGTTCTCCACTATTGTTCCTTCTTGACTGTGTTGTAAAATGAACGCCACAAAGAGCAGATCATTGATTCGGTCTCTAGCCGCTGCATCTACTTCCTCAGTCGCAGCGCTGACCGTATATGACAGCAGTGGCAAGGGAACACATAATTATCCCACCAATGTTCCCACTACCGCAATCTCTGGTCCACTTTCTTTCGGTGGATTGTCTGTGATGAGGGGTGTTACAACATGTTGCGAGGCACCACAAAAATCGCCCATGGAAACTACAGGTCGTCCTTCTTGGCTTCGCCGTACATTGGCATCCCTTCGACTATCGTCTCTACCCATTCCCCGCCTGATTGTCCCGGGCGATCCCGCCTTTGTCATGGATCCTCGGCTCTTACAAAAGCGCCAAGACGATGAGATCCAAATGCAAGAACTGGTTCGAACTGCCATTGCATCCCGGGAGCACCGCAAGAATCCCAAAGCGCTCCAAGAGCTCAATGATAAGTGTTTGGAGCTTGCGTACGGGGAAGGTGTCACCATGAAGATTCGACAGGATTTTATTCATGTAAGTTAGTTAGAATGGAATCGATATGGTATTTTACTCTGAATACTGATGTTCTCATTCTTTTGATCTTGCTTCTTTACTAAAATTATGGTTGCAGAGACACGGATGTACAGGATGGACCGATGACGTGTTGGATGCCATCATTGAGTTGGGCAAGGATCGAGGCGTGGTAGAAATTGGAGCAGGCAATGGTCAATGGGCCAGAGCCATCATGGATCGATCCACATCAACAATCCACAACAACAGCAACAATAATGACACTCGACGGAAAAAGAAGTTTGATCTCGTCTTGGCATTCGATGACCGAAGCGAATTGCCATTGGATCAACAAGTCTTTAACAAAAAGACTCAGATACATCGGGATTACTTTTACGATAAAGTCAAAAAGTGCGATGCCAACTTCTCCAATACACTGCGACACTGGGAATGCCGGGGGCGAGTACTGCTGCTGGTGTACCCACCACCAGGGGACATGGCCATTAACGCTGTAGAACAGTACGTATCCGCGGCACCCATCAACGACACGGTAATCTACGTGGGAGAGGGAAGGGGAGGAGCCAATGCAAACGAGGCACTCTTTGATCAGTTGGAAAGTGGAGACTGGATTTTGATGAGAGTCATGAAGGTGAAGAGCTTTGGGTCCAAAGGATATGAGCAACTGTACATTCTCAAACGGAGGAATCCTCAATCTTAGCTATTGGCTTGCTACCGCTTGACGAAGATACCTAGCTTCATGATGAGATGACTGACTACGGGTAGGAATGCTACAAAGCTTACCGAACCGATGTGGGCGGCCATCATGTACAAGGAGGCTCTTTGCTTTTTCAGGCTTTGGGCATCCGGGCGCCGTCAGAAGAGCTTTCAGCATAGGCGTAATCGTTTCTCGACAGTGTTCAACATGGACAACACAACACAACACAACAAAAAAGACAACACTGTTTTGCTGCTAACGTACGGGCAGGTCTACCTGACCTACTTATTTAGTCTGACAGAGAGAAGTGAGCCACTCTCCACTCACCAACAACAGATAGCTTTTGTTCCTCCCTTCTGCTGCGTCGGTTCTTCATCCGTCCCGATGATACCGTACAGTACTGGTAGTAGGTTCCTTTTTGTATTATACCCTACCGGTACGGTTTTAGCAAAGAGCACTTGTATCATACGTCAATTTCCCTTTTCCTGGCCCATTCAGAAGTCAGAGATTGGAGATCGTCCCGAGTACATGATGTATTGAAGGGTCCAAGCAGTCCGAATAACCCTGCTTAGCCGGTGTAAGACTAGTGACTCAGAAAGGAAGGGATCGTGGATTCTCGCAAGAGTGACCCTCTCCGTTGTTTGATGCGACACAAAAAGCCGACAACCTTTCTGCTCAATGACATTGCATGGATGCCTTGTCTATTATAGTCTACCAGCAAGCTAGTTAGTTCCTACATCGATCTGTGATTCCTCCTCCTCCTCATTAACAGGCCAGGTTGGCTGATTGACTGATTTCCCGTTGATTGAAAAAGGAATCAATTCCCAACTACGGTACTGTCATACAGCACAGATTGATCACTATGTACAGCACAGTCGGCAGCCCTGTGTCCTCCCCGGAAGACCGAGGGCCGTTTTCGAATTTGGAAGGATGGGGCCTCTCAAAAAATGGTCGATTAGGTTCCGTTTTGTACAATCCCAAAACAAGAGCCCTGTACCAAGAGCACTGTGCCTACCTGCCAGCAATGGCCGGATGGTTCCTCTTTTCCTCCCTTTTGTCCAGCTACAATAAGCTCGTGTTTGGGAAGGATCACATGGATTTCCCATGCCCCTTGATCCTGACCAGTATGCACTTTTTGGCACAGTGGGTGTTCAGTGTCGCCATGTGCAAACTATTCCCCCTCACATTTGGTTCCCAGCGAGTCGACGACATGAGTTGGTCGGAATTTCTATGCATCAGTGTCCCCTGTGGATTTGTCACATCCGGTGATGTGGGATTGAGCAATCTATCGCTGGTATCCATATCCATTACATTCTACACAATGATCAAGGCATCCACACCAATATTCGTCCTGACTTGGGGGTACTTTTTTGGGATTATTGAGATTACCTGGCCGTTGATTGGGGTGGTCCTTGTCATTGTTCTGGGAGAGTTCTTGACGGTGGCTGGAGAAGTGGATTTCGCATTCAAAGGATTCCTTCTCTGTCTCATGGCATCCGTTCTGAGTGGGGCCAGATGGACCTTGGTACAACTCAAAATCCAAAAAATGGACCCGCCGTTAAAGACGTCGGTTGCCACCATGAGAGTACTGGCTCCCTTTATGTGTGTTACCATGGTCGTGGTTTCCATTTTGCTGGAAAACCCACGGGAGAAACTAAAAGATTACATGGATTCCTGGAAAACAATTTCCTTTGTTCTCGGACTGGGAATGGGAGGAGCCTGTTTGGCCGTCTTGATGATCCTTTGCGAATTCTATTTGATCATGCACAGCAATGCCGTGGTGTTGATGATTGGAGGTGTCATTAAGGAAATTCTCACCATCTTTATTGGGTAAGTCTGCTTACATCGGATGAACTTTCTTGTCGAGAGGAAAGGTAGTTTGTTTTGGTTGTGACTCACAGTCAGCTGCTGCCTTGCTGGTTATCATAATGGATTGGCAGTGTCGGATTCTTCGGAGACACTATCAATTTCGTCAACTTTTTGGGCTGTTGTGTCGTCTTTGCAGGAGTCATTCTGTACAAGGTGACTCATCATATGGAGAAACCAGCGGACGGCGAACACATCCCCATACCGACAATGGACAAGGATTTCAGCGAAAATGACAATAATGCACCGAACGGTAAGGAACGGCTACAGCCTGACTCTGGTGGACTGGATAGTAGCGATCGATTCCTGGACGAGGATTCCGAAAGATGGAGGGAACGCGAGAAGGATGGCATTGAACTGCCTGCCTCCAATTCACTTCGAAGTCGCAACAGCAGCGATGGTACCAATGCCAATGCCAGTCCCAAGACCACCAAGATGATGATCGTCTAGCTAGTGGTTGAGTTGTGTTTTGCTTTCCAGAACATGCTCGCGCAGAGCCAACAATCTGCTAAACGTTGAAACACAGTACCGTATGATGAAATGAACGCGACAATGAGAATTCTTTCGGAAGTGCGTGTTGGTACTACCAACCAACGCGGTCTGTCTATTGTTACGGTACGGTACGGTACTGACTGTACCAAACTGTACTCCTCAATCAATACGTGGGAACAAATGTCATTCGCTCCACAATTTTCTCGACAACATCGGAAGAACGCATGGATTGTGTGAAACAATCTGCGAGATCCCCCGTGTCGTCATGAAAGTAAATGACAATGGAATGATCGACCAAATAATCCCCATCCGGTGATTCATCGGCTTTGCTCACGTACACCCTGTATTTTTTGGCCATGGCCTGCACTTGGTCGGGTGCTCCCGTGAGAAAGATGTAACTGGGATGGAAATCGTTTCCATACTCCCGCAATGCTTTGAGGGAGTCTCGTGCGGGATCGACACTGACAAAGAGTGGTACAATATTTTGGTGTAGTTTTGGATATTTTTCTTTGAGTGTATCCATGACTTTTCCCACCTTGACCATTTCCGAGGGACAGATGTCGGGACATCTAGCAAATCCAAAGTATAGCAATAACCATTTGCCTTTGAATTGTTCGCTAGTGACTAGGTTCCCATCTAGATCAATCAATGTCCATGGTCCACCAATGGCGGGCTTTCCGGCTGTACCGTACATTAGGTTTGGCAAAAGCAAAGGGAAAAAACAGATGAGTAAGTAAGTAAGCAGGAAGGCACCAAGAGAATTCAGTCAATCAGAGCACTGGGGATGCAGGTAGCTAGAAATCAAGACATGAGAACTCTGCAAAAACACTATAAACAACCTGGAATAAGCAAGAGAAATGAAATCAAACAAAACGTGAGCCACTAATGAATCCTTCGTTTCCACTCATACATGACATTGTATGTAACTGTAGTCTTTCTCTGACTCACACAGAAAAGAAAGCTCCTCTACATGTTTTGCACATTGTTGCACTCACCGGCGCCAAATGCATCCTCTTCTGGGAACCATCCCCAGGGCGTTCGTTTGAATTTTCGCTTGGCTAGTACTTCTGGATTGGGCGACCATCCATCGGACTCACTGGAAACGACCTTTCTCATGGCTTGTTCTAATCTCCGTTCTCGTTCTAGTTTGTAGTATGCCGTGACGGACGCGGCAGCAATTCCCACCAAGAACAATGACATCCAACTGACGGGGCCCTTGTTCTTGGTGGGATCCGGTGGTGGTGGAGTTGAAGAGAAGGGTCGTCGAAGCTGCTGCCATCGACTGGGAAGTTGCCTGGAATTGGCGACCTTTAACATGCGGCTAGTAGAACGGATCGATAGCATGGTGTCGTCTTGTGATGTTTCCTTATTGAAGCTTGAGAAAAGCAAGGGGAGACTACTACAGCTACAACCACCTTCGACGAGTGGTTGGATGGCAACCGAAAACCGAAACAAACAAGGACGAAAGATCCAATGAGTCAGAATGCATTCCCGTACTGTGGAGGACTGAGTTCGTGAACCGAAAAAGTCATACTGGTTGAAGATGACCATGCAAATGACTGCCCCTCTTCCCTTGGACACCGACCAAGAAAAAGCTGTTTGTGGACAACGAACGGCCACAATTGTTTTTGTTGACCTGACCACCCAGCATCACATCCACTCCAGAGTAGAGGTATCCCGACACTGCAGAGCATATAACAACCACCAATCTACTGTATCAATCAATCTTATCACACCATGGCCATGTCCAACCCGTATGGCGCTGCCAAGCAAGTGAAGCGGAATCTGGGCAGCAAAAATGGGCAACAACGGAAAAAGGCCATCTCGCCCACCATGCTGTTTGGACTCTTATTTTTCGTGGTCATTGGCATTTACGCAACCGTAGTGGCGTGGTTCTCCTCAGCGACCTCTTCCCCACTCCACAATGCACCCGCTGCCAATGATATTCGAAGACGAAATTCAATCACTACCAGCGATAGCAATGCCAATAACATCAACGATATCCCACCACAGAAACTGCAAGAAGAAGAAGAAAGCCCTCCTCAGGATCAGCAAGAACAGAATGGCAATAATGGAGTGGAATCTGCCGAAGAAAAAGGTCTGAAAGCATTGCAGCAAATAGTCAAGCAGGAGAAACGGCAACCCATTGTCAAGCGATTCCGACCCAAACCCAAAGGAGACGGCATCAAACCACAAGCTCTAGTAGCTGGCAGTAGTAACAACCAAGAGGAACAGCCACAAGACCAAGATGAAGTTCATCCAGATCCAGAGCACATTATGAAAGCATTCGTAGAACCCATTCGATTCGAAGACTGGGAAGTCAAGCCATTGCCTCTACGAACCAGTACGACCGCCAAAAAACACTTGCTGGAAGAAATCGCATTCCCAAAAGTCAACTCTTGCAAACGACTCCCCGAACGATGGCCCGCCGATGAATATCCCGATCAAGATACCTTTTTGCCATGGATACACGATGTTTTTCCCACCGATGATGGAAAATTCATTCAAATTGTCGCACAGAATCGACGACGCTGTCACACGGGAACCACCGAAGAAGAACTCCGTATTCTCGTCAAGACACAACCATCGGTGGCACTCTTTCAACACGTACCCGTCAAACGCATTACCGATACGAATGGCAATCCACGCTATCAATTGTGTCCTCATGAAGATGCCGATCCCGATGGTGTCGCCACACGATTCATTTGTCGATTCAAACCCACCATGGAAGAAACACTCTCCGTATTCAACTTTGACTACGATTGGGCTGCCTTTCGCAAAAAACAACGACACACGTTCAAATTCGACGATGGGGGCATCAAATCCGTACACACGTCGCAACTCATTTTCAAATGTCCCGTACCAGAGGGATTGCAAGAATCCATCAAATCGGGAGACGCCGTTCAGAATGATTTTGCCACTATCTTTATGGATCTGATCCCCATTCGGACGCCACCTCGCTATGGGGCGCCCAATATGTTCTTTCAACCGCGATACAACGAATCGTTGGTGGTCGACAAAGCAGAACGATTCGATGCCGACATGGAGTGGGGCAAAGACCACATTTTGCCCAAAATTGAAGATTCGGGACGCTGGGAGAATATCCCCATTTGTCGCACCAGTTTGAAAGAATATTATCCCGACAATGACGACAATAATGACAATAATAAGAAACTGGCGGTTCCTGGGAAACCCGACAAAAAACACCGATTGGTGTCGTGCATTTGGGGAGCGGCAGGCTATTCCACCAGAGGAAACCGATTTGCCATTAATGACGGACAGAGACGATTGTTGGAGTGGATCCACTTTAACAAAATGCTCGGATTTGATCACTTTTATCTCTACGACAACAGCTACGCATTTTCCAATGAAATCACACTCAAACCCATTGCAGACTTGTTTCCAGGAGAAGTCACATACATCAAGTGGCCCTTTCAGATTTGCAACAACAACCCCAACAACGTCGATAGTCCTGGAGAGAGGTCGTCGCAGTATGCTGCAGAATCGTCGTGTCGGCTGCGGTTTGGACCGCATGTGGAATGGATTGGACAATACGACATTGATGAGTACATTGTACCGATGGGCAGCTACACGAGCATTTTGCCAATCCTAGACAACCTGGATAAGGAAGGAAAGAAGATTATCTCCTTTGGATCTTGGCGATCCTGGCCTCGACGGGACTTCATTGCGTAAGTGTGCTACGGGAGCTTTTGCAGCGGTGGTTTCTGCGATTTTTTAATTGTGTTACTATTGCTTACACCTGCTTACACCTGCTGTCGTCACTCTTTTTTAACAGGGAACCTGAACCAATCGATGACCCACAGGCTTGTGGAAAAAGGGAACAGTGCTTCAATCTGCAGGTGCCACTCAAGCACACCATGCTGCAGGCTTACAATTGCGACAGACAATCCGGGCCCAAAAAGAAGGTCATGCCCGCCGAGAAACAAATCTACAAACCAGAGTATGTGAGACAACACTTCATCCACTATTCATCGGTGACGGCGTTGTCAGAACTGAGCAAGTCTGAGTTTGAAAAGGCTGGGTATAACTGGCAGAGAACTAGGGCCTTCCCCGATCCACTTTCTCGGTTTGGCGATGAACTGCACGAAGCAACAATGCTACACACCAAAGCTGTTGCTACACCGGACACTACCGGTTGGCTGAAATCGTGCATGGACAAGTACAATGGACATTTCATGTGCAGAATAGGAGTTCCATTCCCAGACGACTACGATGAGAAGAAGCATGGTACAGCAGACGAGACGAACTGGGCTTACAACTGCTACCCCAACAAAAGGATTGATGGCTACTGGGCGCCACTGCTCGAAGAAGCAATCAACAAGGAGCACGGGCACATGTTCCAGCAACAGTAGTCCTAAGACGAATATTCTTGCGCGGGCTATTTCCATCATCAAATGGCAGGAGTTTTGGAGGACAGCAGCCGTCGATACAGCATTTTTGTGGGACAAAGCCGCGAGATACCCTGGTGCTGGCTGCGTGGACAACAACACTACTACAACTCAGTATGAGGACTACCATAGGTTGCCAAAGCGGGCTTGGTGGGAGAAGCGCATTTTGAATGTCCCTGCTGTTCTTGGCTACCGTATATCGATTTGTTCCCGATCTGGTTCCTGGCCAGACAACCACCAGCTACCCCACAGACAACAATAAGTAAACTATGCACACTTAGTCAGCAAACCAACACAGAACTTCGTCATTGTTTTATTCTAGGCATGTAATGGTCGACGAGGCAGGAGCAGCTTGTTTTTCATTCAGGAGTCGTCACCGGCACCAAAATTTCTTCTTCCCGCCAGCTATCATAGTTAGTAGTCGTAGAGAGCTCTCAAAACATAGCCAGCATCATCGTCCCAAGGCTTGACACCACATTCAAGAAGTCTGCCACAACGGTACCCGGAAAATCCATGGCTCCCTTCATCAAATCCGTAGTCACTGTAGCTGTCGTATCGACGTCGCCTCTGATAGTCGCTTTGGCTTCGGAAAGTTGGCAACTTCTTGTTTTTTTTCCGCCGAATCAAAAAAGTGCCTTCTTCCTCTGCATCTTCCATTGTTTCAACTTCTTCGGACGACTTCAATGCCTCCACCACCTGCCTAGCTGTAGTAACGTTCATGGATTGGATGCGAGGAGCGGACAAAATGTATTTTATGTCAATCCAACCATTGCCATGTGGGCTGCTAATGATTTTGCTCCTATAGAATTTATCTTTCTTCAAGTTGGCGTTGGAAAGATAGTATTCCACCTGGGTTTGCAGCTCTTCTTCATCATGATCATTCTGAACAGTAATCTTCCAGTCGTCCTTTTTGGTAGTCTTTTTGCGAGTCTCTTTTGAATGGTCGTTCTTCTTACGTTTGTTTGCTGGAGTGCTACCGGTCGCGGCTGTATTCATGGCAGCGCCCTTGGGAAAGAAGGAATCCAACGTTTTCTGGGGGTTCGTCTTGCTCAGATTTCCGCCAGAGGCTGCGCCAAAGTAGTTTTTGATATTCGTTTGCTTTTTCGGCATACTAGTAGTAACACAGTGTAGCTCTTCTGCTGCCTCTTCGTCTGTGATAATGGAGCTTTGAGAGGCAAGAATTGAAATTGTGCGCCAAAAACTGGATCTTTAGGGTACCGGTGGTTTTTCCAAAGTCAGTGTTCCATCCGCTATTTAGCCGTTTCCTACTAAGGAGTTCCTGCTTGCTCGTTCTGTCTCTCTTTTTGGCGCTTTTAGCTGCAGTGGCTTCGTGCCAGCCTCGAGGATCCGAAACGCAGCACCTATCAATGGTCTCTTGGGAGAGAGTTTGGTTCTGGCCGGTGTCTTGCCCATAATAGTGATGCTGCTGTTGGTTTTTGGTGTTGTTATGCCGAACTGTTTGAGAATAACAAGGTGCCCCTCCGGGTGCGACAACCCAGTTCGTTAAAAGAAGCTTAGTAATAAAGACCCAAGCAAAACCTAACGAACCCCAAACCTGTTTGGACCCACTGATTGAAAGGCTAGTAGGTCAGTTAAGCTTGCGTCCACAGGTGCCAGTGCCGCCTGACTGATGATCGCAAGTCTGGCTTATCTTGGCAGTATTAGCCATATCATTGCTGCTGGGCTTGGAGTCAGGGCGTTGTTTTGGACCTTAGGAAATGAATGAGCTGGGACTGTGATGGAAAGGGGGTGGCCCTGGTGTGGGCCCTGAAGTTCGAGTTGATTCTGGTTGGTGTAGTGGTGGGTCCAGGGGTGGGGCCAGATGTGGGGCCTGGTGATGGATCAGGGGCTGGACATTGGAACCAGGCCTAGTATGCGCAGAGCTCCCAACTTTGCCAGTGCCATCCTGGGCACATGGGTAGCCGCCAAGCTGGGACTGGCGAGTGCAGATCCAGTTTCCACAAGTAGGCGAGACACCGGTGTGGCCAGCTCCATTCTATCAAGCGCCAGGGAACAAGTCAAACCAAAGGATGCCGAGGAATTTGTCTTCAAAGATATCGATGCCTTGTTGTTGCCAGGAGAAGGAACAATGTTGCTTGGAACAAGTTCCAGTGGCAAAACCACCCTTATGAGGACCATTCAAGATGTGATTGGTGGGACTGCCAAGAACCGCTTGAAAGGTTCCATTAGCATGGGAAAGCTCCATATCCCAGCAGCTGAAGCTGCCACTACCGTAAAGGACAAGAATTATGGACGCATGACAGCATTTGTTGATCAGGGTGACTTATCCCTCACACCCATTATGACTGTCGAAGAAACCATTCGCTTTGCCCGTCTCTGTGCCGAGGGCAAACATGACTTCATTGATGAATCCATTTTGGAATTTCTCAAACTTTTGGGATTGGATCATGTCAAGGATACCGTCGTGGGAAACTCTGATATTAGAGGGGTCAGCAGTGGACAGAAAAGGAGGGTCAAAGTATTAGAGATGGCCGTGGGGGCGGATGTAACATGTTTGCTGATTGATGAGCCACCAAATGGACTCGATGCGGCAAGTGCACTGTCACTGTGCCAGGTGTTGGGGACCAGTCTACGAACCTCACGTACAACTGCCATGGTCAGTCTTTTACAGCCTTCCACAGAAGTCTTTGACCAGTTCCAACGACTCGACTCGTTTGCCGTGTTGCCCTACTTTGAAAACACATTAGGACTGATCAAACCAAATGAAATGAATGTTCCTGAGTTCTTGCTACGGTGCATCTATGCTCCTCAAGAATTTCAAGAAGGCGAAGTTCCGAAGATTCCATTGGTATCTGCAGAGGACTTTGCAAAAGCCTTTCAACAATCACATGCTGGCAAAGACTTGGAAGAGGAAATAAAGGCTATCAAGGAAAACGTGGCAGCATCCGATGGCATGACACTGCCTGAATTGAACGAATGGGCGATATCAACAGTTCAACAAATCCTTCTCTTGGCGAGCCGAGGTTGGCAACTGGTGATGCACAATCCCCTCTCCATTATGCGCATAATCTTGGCTGTCTTCTTGGAACCTTCATTGGAACCTTGTTTCTCAATACAAGTGACGATGCTCAAGGCACATTTGTGAGAGGCGGATATGTCTTGACAATGCTCTTTATGACTTTCCTGAATTCATGCATGTCGCCATTGGAAGATGTTTCACGATCGAACCATCTTCTACATTCATCAAAGGGGCAGGCTCTATCGCACCGTGTCCTACTATATCAGTCAAGTGCTTTGCTCAGCTCCAGTTCCTCTTCTGGAAGCTTTCTTTCTCACCGTTATCAGCTTCTTTTTGGTTGGGATGAACAACCATGGATCTTCAGGGTGGGGTTTCCTTTACTTCTGGCTGCTATTCTCGCTACTGGCTCTGAATGGCTCGGCCGTTTCTTCAAGAATCTTGGCCTATAGCCTCCCCAACGAAGATGTGGCACAAACATTGGGGCCGGCTGCTCTTCTCTTGGTGATTCTCACTGCGACAATACCATTGTGCATTGATTAATCTAAGGATCTAAGAGATGCAAAGTTTGTATTTCCAAATAAGTGAGCAGTTATTGATTATTTTCTAGAATAAGCCTGCTAATGATAAAGCTGTAAAGCTGAATTGTAAGCTGTATCCCGTCGCACTCCCTTACAGCTGAAATGAAGCTGGAGCAAGAAACGATAGGAGAGAGTCCCCAGCAAAGTGCTGAGGTAAATTACCATCCCATGAGGAGCTTCCGAATGACAGCAAACTGTGGAGCCGGAAGACCCTTAGTAAAAATGTCGCCCGTTGTTCCAGAGTCGGAATATACTTAGCCACGATGCCCTCGACTCCCCGATATTGACACTGAAAGAAGTGGTACTTCAATGCCAAATACTTGTTGCGCGCAGACATTTTGGGAACATTCACAAGAGACAAGCAACCTTGGTTGTCTTCGAACACTGTAGAGCGCACGAGACTGTCAGTAATTACCGGCATATTCAGTTTGCTACCAATTTCTTTGAGCAAAGCTCGCATAGGAAGCAGCTCCCTCATTGACATGCTGAAGGCAACATAC